CCCCAAAACCCCAAAACCCCAAAACCCCAAAACCCCAAAACCCCAAAACCCCATTTGCTCTCAGAGGGTTGATATTTAATCAATTTTTCATATTAATAATTAAAAGGAAAATTCAATCCAATATGAAAGGATATGGATTAGCCACTTGGCTAAAGAAAGAAGAGTATAAGAACTACTTTGTCTCTGCTTCCTGCGTTGGTGGTCAAGAAGCATCAAGTATTAGACTCAACACCCTCAATACACAAGAGAGAAACCAAATTGATGTTGTAGCAAGAGCAAGAACTACAAATCTTTGCAAAAGCCTAAGTGTTGGAAACTATTCAGGCAATATGGGACTAGCTGCTGGAGGTATGGATGATGGATCCATCATGATCTGGGATATTGATACTTTGTATAAAGAAGGAGATACTTTTAATGACAATGTACAAAGCCCATCACTCATATCTAACCAACTCGTACATGAAGGATCTGTCAACGCTATTGAGTTCAACCCTAACATTCCAAACTTGATTGCATCAGGAGGAGCTGAAGTGTTTATTCAAGACATCCAGCATAGTCTAGAAGAGCCAAATGTATTCACTCCAGGAGAGCCCAACTACCATGAAGGAGAGACTATCACCGCTATTAGTTGGAACAAAGTTGTACCATATATCTTAGCCTCAGCTGGAAACACAGGGCAAATTGTAGTCTGGGACTTAAAGAATACCAAGGCTATTTTCAACCTTAAGGACCCCAATCTAGTGTCATATAACTATGATATGTTCTCTGAAGGAAAAACTGAGCAAATTACTGCTAATTATCAAATAATTTGGAGTCTGAAAGTTCCCACACAATTTCTGATTAGTAATGACAATGAAACTATGACAATGTGGGATCTCAGAAAAGCTGACACTCCTCTATTAAGCTTATCAGATATTCATAGTGGAGGTATTCTCAGTTGCTCTTGGTGCCCTCAGGATCAGAACATCATTGCTTCCTCTTCGAATGAAGGCAAGACTTGCTTCGTTCACTCAGACACAGGAGATCTCATTTCTGAAATCAGGAATGGAAAGAAGTATCAAAATATTGAATGGTCTCCTTATAACAGAGGTCTGATCCTAGGTTACAGTACTGAAGACGAGACTGACATTTTCAACTTCAGTTCAGCAACCACTCCAAAAGAAGAATCAACTGATTCCAGCTATGCTCCAAAGTGGCTGTCAAGACCAATCGGTGCAAGATTCGGATTTGGTGGAAAGCTTGTAACCTTCAGTCAAAGTTCTGAAGAACCAATCAAGTTGTATCAGACCCAGACAGCTCCAGAAGTAAATACCAGACTACTCGAACTCGAAGAAACAAAGACTCAAGATGATGCTGTCTCAATAATCGACACTTATATTGAGAACAATGGGAAGAGCGAAATTGAGAAGATGGAATGGATCACACTCAGATCTTTGGCTAACCAGAACTATGACTCCCTCTTCTCTTTACTTGAGATAGACAAAGATGCTGTCTACAATGAAGCTGAGAGATTTAGTGGTAAAAAGAAAAACAAGAGAGCCCATAAGCCAGATTCTAATAGAAAAATATCCAAAGGAGGTCTAGAAGACCTTGATGCAACTCAGGCTAACTCCTTCTTTGAAAGTTTATCCAAGACAAGTGACCAAAGAAAGGAAGAAGAAGAGAAGAAGACTGACGCAAAGCCTGGTACAAAGATGACTCAAGAGACCATCTCAAGAAACTCTAATTGGAATGAAGGAGCTGAAGGAATCATCAAAAGAAACCTCATGGTCGGAAACTTGGAAGGAGCTGCTGAATGTGCTCTTAAATGTGGAAGGGCCACTGAAGCTCTTCTGATAGCTCTTTCCTCAGACAACGAAGAAATATTTGAGCAAATAAAAGAAGAATATTTCTCATCATCTAAAGATGAGTTTATTAAGACTGTTATAAAAGGTATCAGCAATAATGAAGTAGAAGGTCTCATAGCCAATCTTTCACAATCAAATTGGAAAGAGGCGCTTGCATACACCCTAAGTTACAGCGAAGAGAGAAAGATCCATGAATATGTTGAAGAGATTGCAGAAGTTGTACTCAAAAAGAGAGATGTCAATTCAGCTATTATTTGCTACATGGTTTCTAAGAACATTGACCAACTCTCAGATTTATGGAAAGTGAGAGCTGATTCGATCATCAAGAAGAACCCTCAATACAAGTATACAGTTTATTCAAACTATGCAGAGAAGATCACACTTTTCAGGTATTCCAGTCACACTAACTTATTATAGACAAATCACAGGAATCCAAAAGGCCACTAAAGATTGTGATGAAGTAATTGCAGAGCTAGCAGATATACTTGTTAACGAAGGCTTGCCAGATATTGCACTAAAATATCTTACCCAAAATTACTGTAAATCCGAAGAGTGTGAAAAGATCAGAGAAAGAATTTACTACAGCAAACATTCCCAGTTAGCCAGCCAATTTGAAGGCCCGAGGTATAGACATAACGTTCATGAACTTCCTAAAATCAAGCCAAATATTCAACAAAGAGATAGAAGAGGTCCAATCAATAATAGAGGAAGAGGAGGATTTAGAAAAGATGCCAGACCATTTGATACTCACAATCCTGCAGGACCGACAACTTTCAATCCATCCCAAACTCAATTTGAAAAAGGACCTCAACCTCCAAAGAAGAATACCAGAGGTCCTGGATTTATCCAAACAGAGAAAGGTTCAAGTAACTTTGGATACTCTAAGACAGATCCTATCCTTGCTTCTTCTGAAGATTCAAAGGTGGCTGCTTCTCCAAAGCAAAATCCAACAAGAAAACCAAAAGTACAGCCTATGCCAACAGCAAATACACATATATTTGATCCTTCTAAAGCTCCTGACCACCCGCCTCCTCCAGTGCCAACTGGAAGACACAATCCACATCCAACACCAGTTGAAAATCCTAGAGTAGGAGGCCCTCCTCCTCCAAAGGCTGGTGTCACTCCTCCAGCACCTATTGGATTACAGACACCATCTCAGTCTCTCGGAGCTTTCCCTCCAGCTTTTGGTGGGCCTCCAACTAGAGAGCAAGAACCTGTAATTGCAGCAACAAAGGTGAAGCCTCCAACAGCTTCTATGAAGCCGAAGGCAGCAAGACCTATTCAAAGATATGCTCCTCCACCTCGTTTGGAGGGATCTGAACCTGCATCTCAGCCCCCAATCTCTTCTGCTCCTCAAGAGAACAATCCTCCACCTTTCGGAGCAGGAGCTCCTCCTCCAGTAAGGGGTGCACCTCCAGCAAGAGGAAGAGGTGCTCCTCCTATGAGGGGAGCTCCTCCAACCAGAGGAGCTCCACCAATGAGAGGAGCTCCTCCAGCAAGAGGTGGACCTCCAATGGGAAGAGGAGGCATGCAAGCTCCTCCTCCATCACAGAGCCAATCTGACGGAGGAAGACCTTCTATGAGAGGTGGAATGGGAGGAGCTCCTCCGCCCCCGAAAATTGGTAGAAGAGGTCAATAATTAGAATAATTATTCAAGCATGTTTTATGCAAGGGGTTTTGGGGTTTTGGGGTTTTGGGGTTTTGGGGTTTTGGGGTTTTGGGGTTTTGGGG